ACAGGGAGGATCTCTTAAAGACTGTGGCTGGAATCCTGCCTTGTTAAAAAAAAAGCACAGGGAATGTTCCTGCTGTGTGAAAGCACATTAAATCCGAAGTAGGGCTTCTAGTTCAAATTGTTTTGATTACTAAATTAGTAAAAAACTGCTTTTTAAACATATGAGGGAATAATAAGCACTAAGAGCATTTTGGGACATCTGTGGCCAGTACTGTACTCTCTTTCGTCCTAATTGCTGGCTTGAGAAACAAAACAAGTACCAGGGACATCTGAAATACTTAAGCACTTTTACTAAATCAAGAAAAAAAATATATAAGCCATCATCAGTGGTTTCAATTCATTGGTATGTTTGACACGTTTTTATTTTTCATATGTAACAGCTTATTTATGCCTATAAATAATGTTTTCAAAAAAGAAAAAGATCAGATTTTTTAGGTGTATAAGCAGGGATGAGGTACTACTGGGGTTCCTGTCTCTGTGGGAGTTTGTACAAGGCAAAATTATTAATAATGTCTTCTGTTTCACTGTATGAAAGGCCAGATGATCGAATTTCAGAAGCTAATTAAGGACCTGTTTTCTCAGAAAAGAATTTTGCCTTGTAAGGTTTTTGTTCCACTTGAGCACTCAATTAAATAACTGAAACCTTACACAGCTAATAATAGGTTTAATTTAGAATCTGTTTCCTTAAGCTATGTTTTCATTTAAACGTTTCGAAGGTGGCCTTTTAACTATTGGATTTCTTTAAGTAATTTATAATGGACAAGCTTTAAGTACAAATACAATCTTGCAAAATGTTCCAAACAAGCCCTTTGTTGGTCCAGTTAAGGATTCATTTAAGTGAAGAGCTGAGCTGCAATAAAAACCAGTAACCGGTGGTTCCTCTGACCAGGACTGGGGACCACAGCTTAAAGGACTGTGGGTCTCATCAAACATTCTCCTGGTAACCATCATAACACATATGTGGGCCATTTTGAGGAACACAGTAGTCAAAACATTTGTTTCCTGTAGTTTTCCACAGGGACACAGATCACAGGAAGCACTTCTGAAGAAGCTGGGACTGGGGTCTTAATTACTTCCTGTGTTCCAAACTAGGCCCCGCCCACGGCTGTGGTCTCTCATGAGCTGTGTGGTTTGTTCTGAATTATCCTTCCGAGTCATGTGTGTGACCAGGCTGCCCTGGTCAGGTGCTTCTGGCCTAAGGTAGCCAGCGGGTGAGGACAGTGTCTCAGGTATGAAACACAAACTCTGTCCAATAATGAGTAGGCCTCTGCTTCATGGCCCTCATAGGGGTACTTTGGGAATATCTAAGCTCTCACCTCATAAGAGCATGACTGGGAATTCCTGACTTTGCATAAGGATATCATTTCCTTTTAGTGGAAGGAGAACAGCTATTCACGAGTCCTTTTCCACTCTGATTCTTACAAATAGGAAAAATATTTAAAGTCTGCCTTTAAATGAAAGTGATAATGACGTATAAAAAACAGATTTATTATCAAGTGTCATTAAAAACAAGTGGATTTTCAAAAGACCTGAAATTAACTCCTGATTTTGAACCAGGGGAGCTGCTTTCAAAGGAAGGGCATCAGGCTTCTGTAATTTACATTTTTTCTGGACATAAAATAAGGTTTCTCTTCTTACTCATGATCCTTTCAGTGCTTGCAGGGCTACAGTCTCCAGCCATAGTCCTGGAGAGAGCTGGTCACCCCTAACTGCCTAAAGTTTTAAGACTTTAAAGACACTTAAAAGTTCTTGATCAGCTAAAAGAGCAATTGTTTAATTTAAAGACGCTCTGGTTGAAGGGTGATCTAATATTTATCCCAGAACATCTCTAATTATTTAATTTAACAAATCAGATGTTTAATTGATTATGGTTAATTTCTTCCAGATCTTTAGAAATTGATGATATATATAAATTCTGCAGGTATGGAGTTCTCAAGAACAAGTGCTGGAGACACCTGCCATATGATGTATTGATGCTGGATAAAATTGCAAGACATCCTGTTTAATTCTGTTAGTATACAGCATAACCACCACACTACATGAGTACCAAGCCTACTTTCCTTAGGCTTCTATAATCTATAGATTTCTATAGGATAAAATCAATGCTGAACTAACTACTGTGTACCCTTAGACAAAAATATGAAAGCTCTTAAAATATGGAAGAAATATGTTCTACTTAAGCTGTAAAATCTGTGTAGTAATTTATGGTGTAACGTTTATTTTACTGGGGAATAAGGTCCTTAATTCTAAATGCACATAAACTGATGCTGGCAACAAAAAAACTGTTTTGAATATTATTTTGTACATTTTACTTTTTGCTCCTTGCTCCGATACTAATCCAGTTCTTTTCTGTACAAACATAATGTTAATTTATATACATTAAAATTAATACTGTTCCCTGCTTTGACAAGTAAGTAACTTTTTTGTATATATTTTGAATATATTGAAGATTGTAGTAAAGTTATTATTTTTAATTTTGTCTCGGTGTCCGAGTCGTGACTGAAGTTCCAGTCTTTCTTCACAGCCCTTTCTTATCCGAAACAAAAAAATGGAGATGATCACCCGTACAGGAAACTCTTTTTCTACAATCTCTTACCTTGGAAGGTGATGCAAAAGGTTGCTATATAATCAACTCATAATTTAATTAAATAATACTTGTGATTTAAGTAAAGTAATGGCTTTATTAGATAGTACACTTAATAGACTGTATATATTAAGCCATTCTATATATATACTGTACATGACAACTCTCCATTAATCTGTCCTTTAAAAAGGTCTTTTACTATAGACTGTATATATCTCAACAAAATAAATGGTAACTGAGCTTAACAAAATAGAATTACAATTCATAAACACCATTATAAATATAAAGTAGGTCTTAATGATGACAGATACAATTTAGAATAAAGCAAGCACAAATTATATCACAGCAATAAGATAAAGATTATAATCAGATCATATTCTTCCATTCACACTGCATAATATACATGTCGTATATTTATCAGAGCCAGTTAAATCACATAGGGATTGAACATCAGTTTGACTCCTTATGAAACATTACATCATACCCCGAAAAATAAATTCAACCACTTTAACACTTAACACTTTGGCAAGGAAAACTGTTTCGGAGGCAAATGAGACACATCGAATTGAGATAACGGAGAAAACCACTGAAAAGTATAATACAACCTAAAATATTTTGATTAACTGAAAGCTTTTCTGACAACATGATGAAATCCTAATAAAAAATTGTTTTGTTTTCTCCATATGGGCCATTATGTGTTTGCAGCTAAGTATACCATAAAGTGTACAGCAACAAACTGAAAGAATACTAGGATCGAAAATGATCTGGTCTCGCTTTAGCGGTGCAGGTTATGGGAATGAATATGTTGTTGTGGGTTTTGTAAATGTAACTGAATAGCAAGGACGATTTTATCTGCTCAGAGACTAATTGGTCAGAAATGCTTATTCCAGTGTGACAGCGAGCTTAAAACGCACAGTAAAAACAACTGGCAAATGTTGTGAAGCAACATAAAAGAAATATCCCAGGCTGGCCTTCTCTGTCGCTGGAATTGAATCCCATCTGAGATGTGGGGACGAGATGAAAACTTAGCATGATCAAAGCCGCAAGCTGGGAGACTCGGGGAAGGAAATGACCAAGAGCTGTCAAGAGTTACAGAAAAACAAGCTGCAGTCGATTACCATAATAAATCTAAATGGGTGACACATCTGTCCATCAACAGAAAGCTGCTGTCGCCTTAGGAAACCTACATAAACACAGGGAAGCCATACAAACTCCACACAGAAGGTGGCCCAAGACTTTAACCCATGGTTTCAAGAGTTGTGCAATCTGCACAAAATATTTATATATACACTGAATTATTTATTTCTTGCAAGAAAAATTGTTTTATTACTAGAATGTATATTGCAGAATTTATATAACTACTGTTAGGGGCCCCGGCTAGCTCTGTGGGTAGAACATGAGACTCATAATCTCAGAGTAGTGGGTCCGGGTCCCACATTGGGCAGCAGGTCCTCCATGTTGGAGTTTGGGCACAAGGTTAACAACCCTGTCCTGTAAAAAACGAATGTTACGGGAACAGCAACAGGGTGTTTCTGCCCCTAAATGCCAGAAGGCAGAACAGGAAAACATCCCTATAATGTTAATATAACCACATATATTTTTCATTCAACACTGTATCAAGTCTCATAAGGAATACATCTGTAACTCAGCTGGTGAATTAAAGCATTGCAATGTTTTGCAAGAATTACATATACTACATAAGTTCTACATATGATCATCTGTATTGAGTAAGAGGGCTGAGCAGCACTCTCATGTCTCCTGCAAATTAATACTGTGATTTTGGTTTTCCCTGAATTCCAGTGGGCCTGTGCAACACAGATGGACACATTCACACGCTGACCCTTATGTGCTAGCTGGCTCAGAGTGGCAGGATTCCAGGCCTAAATTAGACGTTATCAATGCAGAGAGCAGACTTTCTAATGTGGAAGCAGGCAATTTGTGTGGGTCACGTGAAATCTTGAGATCATGACCTCTGGCCCCTCCATTCCCTTGACCCCTATGTTGTGCTGCATTAAGCTGCTGACCACAGCCTGGTCCAGATGAGCT